TGTCAAAGGCAGCAGACCCCAAACACTCCCATGGCTAACCCTATCTCCAAGCACACCCTGGAGCCATGTTAGCTTTGTTTCAGAGGTTTGATGTTTCAGGAAAAAAAAAAAAAAATCAAAAGCCAAAATCACAGGGTGCAATACTTCTGATGAAGTCAGCTGCTGTAAACAAGCCCATCACACAAGCACAGCAGGCAGTTCATTGCCATCATGCTGCTAGAAGCCCTACCTCATGCTTAAGTGTTGATTTTGTCACATCAGTTCTCTTCCTAAACAAAGTACGTGTCCACATACATCCAAATGTATTTTGTGTGTGACCAGGAACACAGTAGGTACTTACAGCCTGGATTTCTTCACTTAGCAGTTGGTAATTTCACATTTCCAAGAGCAGCCTGTCAAGGCCAGGTGTGTATAACAAAGGTATCACAAGGGAGATCTTTCCAGTGAGTGACTGGAACAGCTCCTTGTGAGCAGGATTTTCTCACTGTGAACAAACCAGGGCACTGTGCTGCTTCCTGTGCATTTGCTGAAGTCAATGAAAACTGAGTCAGACCTTAGAACTTAAAAATGTGCTGATTTTAATTAACACAGCAAGAAACAATAGCTGTCACCTTTCATGGCCATGGCTGGCTGTGTTCCTGCCTGGCAATTTGAACATTGTATACTGAAGGCAACAGTTTGCATTCACACCATGTGATTAATGAAGCACAATTCTTGCTAATCACAGAAACTTTTATTTATTAACTGCCTAGTGCCACACTTGCCTCTGTCCACAGCAAGAGCAAAGATCCTGCTGAACTCACCTTCCCAATCTCAATTGCTCTACAAAGTAGAGACATTTTATTTATACTTTCCTGAGGAATTAGATTCAAAACCCTGCCTGTTTTGAACTGAATAGCCACATATATGGGGCATATGAAAATAGCAGACCTTTTGAAATGTGAAAATATGCAGTTTACCCCAGGGCTATAAAAAAATCAGTGGGAAGGCCAAGATCAGAACTAAGACATTTTTTGCTCACAGCCACATTCTACAGTTTCTGCAAAATGCTGTCTACTGAGAAACATGCTCACAGCATCCTTAGGTTGATGTTCCTTGTTAGTTGGTGCAGAATTGCTTTGAGACTGACTTTTCTGTCTCGTAATCTGTAGTACAGACAATCACTTCTTGAGAAGACTTTTAATAGGCACATCATTAACTACTGTCACAATAAAAGGTACTTCATGTTTAGCATCATAAAATTCCAGCCTTGATTCAGTCCATGATTTCTTCCTCTGAACAGGCCTATTTTTAATTAGCATATTTGCAAATGTCAGCAGTGCTACAGTGGATCCTTTTTTCTGCTTGTGTGTGCCTTCCATCTTCACACTGCACACCAGACTAACTTGATGTGTTCGTAATTCATTTGCACAAACTTACAGGTGAATCCTATGTCCTTCCAACACATGGGCAGTGTTGTCACTTATGATTAGCTGAAAGATCCAATACCTTGTTATGGAACAAAGTCAAAATTTTGCAAAAAATTGCATAATTGAAAGGGTAATGGGTGCTTTATTTATTTTTTAACTTGAATCCTGTACTTTGCTAATATCTTATGTCACCAAACCCCAGCATCTACTTCCTGCTGCTGGGAGGATCAATCCTGTCAATCAGATGATCAATGAACTATCACAGGCACTCAGATAACTCTGCAAATCAACGTGGCCACTCTAACCCCTCAGGCCAATTCCACAGCCCTAAAACTCTGTGTATCTTAGAGACCAAAACAACCAGCATGGAATTCTTTTCATTACCACTATTTCTTTTTAAATCACACAGAAATGACAAGCTTGCAAAGAAGATGGAGATTTGTTTCCACATAAAGTTATTTCCTGTGAATGCTTTCACACATCCTTTGCCTAACATGATTTTCATGAAAGTGAAATATAGGCATAAAAAACCCTGCAGAAAGCCATGAGCATTGCCCAAGGGGAATTACACTGCAGTGGGGTTCTGCAGGTTTACTCCCAGGTCTCCTCTTCCTCACCTACCCAAGTCAAAAGGAACAGGCACCAAAATTTAAGGGCACTAAAGAGCGGCACTCAAACTTCTCACTGTGTTAATGAGACAATAAAGAATTAATGAACATGCACAAACAATACAGCATCATCCATCTCATAAGCAAGCAGTATTTACTATGGCCTTACTACCTGTGCCCACCTGCCAACATTTCACAGAAAATAAAGGCACAAATACTGTCATGTAGAGCAGTTTGTCACATTCGTTTCCAGGTTCATACCTTCTGCTAAGTCATTTAACTGAACAAAGAAGTACTGAATTATAAAAATGAAAAATTATACTGCACTGGAAAGAGGTTTTAAGCTTCTGTGATTGCACAATGTGTTAAAATCTATTTCAACCCATTCAGATACTTGCTTAAGAAAGTTTCTGGGAGGAGAAAAAAAGATCAAGCTCAGAAATCTCTACTGATAAACTAACCTTTTAATATATTGCCCTTGATTTCCAGGGTTTCCAAACTGGATTAACTGCTGTGGTCCAGATGGATATACTCGCTGTGCTAATCCACTGTGTTCAGTTCAAGTTTATTATGCTAAATACACTCCAAGAGGATTTTATCTTCTACCTGCACCTTCCTGTGCTCAGTGAGACTCTTCTATTCATCAAGAATGAAAAGCACAAGATGAGGTGGAACCTGCCCTTTTAATTATCTTGTACCAAAGTGGCCCCATGATGGAGATGAACTGCTCAAACTCTTTGATTTTAGGCCAGCTCATTGTCTATGCAAGATCACAAACTGAAAGAAAAGGTATGCTGAGCATGCTATTGATTACAGCTCTATCTGCCATGATCCAATAAGTTGAAATTTCATACACCAAGTATTAAATTACTGAAATTATGCTTTGGCTTATCTGCATCCATTTTTTATTCACTTTTATTTGGCTGAACATTTTAATCTTACTTACACAGTTTCTAACTGAAAGTAAACTACGCATTCCTAATAATATAAATATGAAAAATAGGGTGTGCTCAGGGACTGCAGTTGAATACATTAAAATCACTCAGTTTGCTAGTTAACATATTTCCATCCCTTTTATGTACAACCTTTCACATTCAGTTGGCAGACTGCAAATTCATGGCCTTATTAAAAAAAACAGTGTCTTGATTTTCTGTTGTGACAGCAGAAATCGCCCAAAATATCTGAGAGTTTCCCTAAAGGACACTCACTGGCTGGTACTTCCCAGGTGCAGCACAATCTGAATTTGAGGTGAACAGCATGTCAAATTCCACTCATCTGTCAATGTAGCAGATTATTTCTTGAGAGACTGAAATTGGCTGCCTGGGATCAGAACACCATCAATCTTCTTCATGTAGGGTGCAGAGAAGCTGCCGGAGCCAGGCTCGCAGGAGGGAAAGCTTGGCTGCTTCTAAGTAGGTGATGAGGCAGCTGTAAAACCTTCACTCTATCTGTAGCACATCCCTGAGTGAAAGATTTTGTCATTTTTCACATTTCCCCAACATTTGGTATGCATTCCATGTCTTGCTGTTCTTGCTTCATAAAAAAGGTGATTTTTCAAGCTTAGGCAAATGTTGCAGAGCTCTGGATCTGCCCAGCTCTCATTTTTTCTCATAATGTCACTTGTTTCAACTGATTCCATAAAGTGATATTACGTTTTCCCTTTAATACCTGTGCAGCTGGGCTCTTTCTTCCCCCCTTTCCTTCACTAGGGACACACTCTCAAATAACCAGCAGCATTTCTGATAATTGCACTATAATAAATCTCTGCAAGTCCCAGATAAGTCCTTCACCCCTCAAACTTCAAGCACTCCCAGATTTCCAGGGCCAGGGGATAAAGGTGATACCCTTGGTTAATGTGATGCTCTAACAAGGGCACTGAGACCTGGCCTAGCAAGGATTTTGGTCTACTCCTCTGTAACATTTATGTTTTATTAGAACAAGTCAAGACAATGACAATACCTGTGATTTCTGGGCAAGAAACATACCTGGGAAAACTTTAAAATTCAAAGCTGCTAAAGACCTGTGTTCAAGCCCATCTGTCTTTGAAGGGATATCATTTGATCAAAAAGCATTAAAATATTAATTGCCACATTGTAAGATGACTCATCACTGTGAGTTAACACTTTCCATCTTTCATTTCTACAACTCTTAGAGCCCCTCCCACCTTTTCTTTGGATTCAAATTTGGTTAAGTGACATTCTTGGCCCATCTAATTTTAACCAGATGAAAATACTGTGCTAGAAAATGCCACCACCTCAATTTTTAGCATAGCACATTCTTCAAAGTGCAATTAGCAGTTGAAGGAGTCATGTGATCCATTTTTCTTATTAAAAACACAATAAAACCACTGCTGTGCTGTCCCTGCAGACCCAGCAGTCCAAGTGAAGTGAGCTGTGTTCTCCACTGCTAACCTGTGGGATTGATTCTGCCTTTACAGGCACTGCACTCTATCCATAGTCCCAAATTCTCCTCCAGGACACACTTTTGCAGCCCCATCAATTTCAGAGGTAAACTTGAGAATCTCTGAGTGAGTGTGCCTCCTTTAACCCAAGGCAAACATCCAATCTCCAGTTTCAGTGCCTGTGGTTTAAGGAACAAACCTGAACCCAGTTTGGGTCAGATAAGCACAAAGTTCCACAAACCTGTGCTCTCACAGTGTCCAAGTTCTACAGAAATTCCAGAACTTCACCAAATGGGAAGAAGCAGAGAGAGAAACAAGGACACAGAAACAGAACTGTTCCCCACAATGGGATTTTCTGTTGGGCAATTGTTAGAAAATGACATTAAACATGACTATTCCCACATTGGATTGGCAAAGCACAACACACATTACACTCACCAGAAAACAGATGCTGTGCAATACAAAGGCAAACAACTCATAAAACTTAAATGATAAAGAGAATTTTGATTAGTCAATCATTTATCAAGACAGACAGGAGCACGGGCAGAGAGCCTGCAAGCCCAGAGCTGAGCTCAGTCCTACCTGGTCTGTGCAGGTGATGCTGCTGGAAAGTGTGATGGAGGGATCCCTGACAGAGCAGCATTGCACAGGCACTTATCCACAAATACAGGACCCAGGACATTGCAGAGACCACTGCCATTCTCTAAACAAAATATTAGACACACATTATTATCCAATGCCTTCCAGCACACACAATAGTCAGCTTCCATTACAACAGTGGTTTTAATATTTTTCTTTTTCACTCCTTTTGCTAAATGTCTTTTGATTATCATTCCCCCCCTGCAGGATGCAATTGTTGTACAACAAAGGTCATGCCCAAAAAGGACAGCTGAGGTAAAGAGACGTCAACACAGGAGCCTGGGTAACTTTAATAATTCAGTGGTAAAAATCAAACTGCAATAATCTGAGGACTAACAAAACCACAATATAAATAGAAGCTGGGAAATATTCTCACACTGATCCACAGCTCAATTTACAAGGGAGTTAAAAATATAAACCAAATTATAAAAAGTCACAACACCAGCTGGAAAATACCAACATGATGTCCAGACAGTATCAAAGCTGCTTTAAATACATTGCAGAAAGACATAACATATTCTCAGCTATCCAAGACATATTGCCAAAATACTCCATCCCCAAAACTAAAAAGGCTATTACTGACCCAGAAGGTAACAGTACATTGTTTGGTTTTTTTGCTTTTGCAAGCATTAATTATTAATTATGCTTTTGTCTACCAAACAAAGTAATTGTTTCTCAGAATTATGTTCTAATCCCCAGATGAAATCAGCTTCCTTTTGTTCGACCTGTGCATGCACAAGGACTGGAGCACGGCCAGACTGAATTTCAGATGTGCTCTATAGAAGATTTGATGCTTCCACAAAGCACACTGTGTCAAAATTTTAAAAATATTCCCTTTGCAAAGGGAAAAGGCAATTTCTTTGTCTGCTGGTGCACTTGGCCACACAGTGCAGACAACTCTTTTTCCATACTTGTGCCCATGGCTGTACTAACTGGGTGAATTTCCCTCTGACTTGTTAACTTCAGCAGCTCTTGCTCAGTGCCTGCAAGGATCAGGAGGTTTGCAAGGCTCAGCTACGCTACACATCGTCCAGTTCCCCTAACAGCACCTTGTGCTGCATTTCAGATGGGCAAATTAATCAAACTTCAGGCACTCTCCTCACTCAGCCAATGACGGGATGCTGCTCTCTATCTAATAATCCAATCAGCTGAACATCATTTTCACAGAGCAAGAAAGACTTTGAAAGATTCAAATCTCTCACATGGAAAAAAAAATCACGTCTTTACAAAAAAAAAAAAAAAAAACTGCATGCAATATCAGGGGATTTCTACAGTAGGAAGATGAACAATATTAAAATAGTGAAATGCTGTGGCAATAAAATATATGCATATAAATCCTTTTTTTTTTTTGTCCTGATTTTAAAGCAGCAGAGTCTTTGGGAAGCTTTTTAAGTCTAATTAGTTGAAATGAACCACATAAACTGACAAGTATAATTAATAGAGAATACCAAAACATTATTTTGATCAGCATGAGGCTCTTCCTTTCTCTGTACTGAGTGCTTGATGCACTGCTTGGTGTATAATTAATTTCATTTCCAACTGTTTGCTTTGCAGTATACAATGCACTTTTTCTCCTCTCTTTTTAGACCCATTTATCTTGCAAAATAGATTCAATCTCCTCAGATCAGGGAGCTCCCGGGAGGCTTCCCGTGTCTTCAGGAATTAACACCTTCTTGTCATAATTGGTGCTCCCGTGCTTTTTATACCACAAGGCAAAGGGAAAGGTGAGCCTCACGCAGGGGAATTTCAGGTAATCAGGTTATTTAAACTGAACTTTAAAAATCCCAGTCAAAGAGCGAAACTTCCACAACCTGCTAAATGCTCCTGTATCTTTCCTCCGGCATCATGCTCTTCACACATGGACAGCAGACTTTACCCACTCAGGCTTTAAAATTAGTTTTTGTGGCTTTTTAAAATATAAAATCCTCTCTCAAACATTTGCTATTTCATACTACCTTTGCTCAAACCCAGCATTTCTTACAAATATTTCTTCATGCACTCGTTCATCCGCAAACTGCCACACACACATAATTTCACCCAGAGATCATCTTATCATTAATACAGAAACACAGCAGTGAATATTTCCCACTTATTATCAGAGGAGTTCCAGATCTGCTTTCTGAATCTTAAATCCTGAGGAAGCTCCTTACCTGAGTAATCCAACCAAGAGCAGAGCACTCTAGTAGCGTTCATCGGAAAGATCTAATACTTTTTTAAATCCATCTGTACCACAATAAGGGATTTCTTTTATAGCTTCCCAATAATCTTCTTTATCAGGATTAAAAGTAGAAAAAAAAAAGAAGCAAAAAAATCTCTTTTTCGTTACAAATCCTGTTTCCAGAGTAAAGAAGACATCTGAGCTCTCAGACTGCCGTCAGAAAAGTGGCCAAGGTTTGAGGGGTGGAAACCTTCTCATTTTCACCTTTAGATCATTGCCGAGCATCCCCTTGTGCTGGAGGAGCCCTCCGGAGGGGTCTGGCGGCGAGGAGCGGCTCGCAGGACACGCGAGGCCGAGCAGCAGCCGGCGGCTGAGGGCAGCGCGGCCGCGGCTCCGCACGGGCGGCACAAGGCGGCGGCTCCCGGACCTGCCCGAGCCTATTTCAACACATCCCCGCTCGGGAGAGTATCACATGTGCCTTAAAGCGACACAGCCCGCGCTCAGCCAGCGACTGGAGCTGCATTTAAATAGCGGCAGCAGAGCCCGCACGGCGCAGGGGAGCGGCCGCTCCGGCTGCGGGAGGCGGGCGGGGAGGGGAGCGGGGAGCGCCGGGGGCTGCGCGGCCTCCGAGGCGCCTGGGACGGGCTGGTTCCGCCAGCACAGCCTTTATCCGCCAGCCCTCATCCCCCAGCCCTCTCCTGGCACCTGTTCACCACTTAAGGAGCCTCCTGCCTTGCACATGCCTGGGAAGGGGAAGGGAGGTGCAGGGAAAGGGGAGCGAGGCTCACGGCAGAGCCGGAGACTCCCTCACGCTCCCAGGGGCTGTCCAGCGCCTCGCCACAACTCTCAGGGGGGAATCTTTGTCTTTTCTTCCAACTCCATTTCCGAGCCTTCTCTGCAGACAATGGGGAAAGCGCTCTGATTTACTCCCAAATGCAAAAACTCAGCTATGCCAGATTATTTATTGCAGTTATTTATTCTCCACGTCTTAAGTGGCCATTTACAGGAATGGAGTGGTTTCCTCTCCCTCTTGTACCATATGTAATTATTTTTTTTAAAGAGCCATTGTATAGACTTAGTACATACCATTCACTTGGCATTACAGCTCTTATGTCTGCCTACAAAAGAAAAAGGGCTTAGAGACAAAACAGAAACTTCCATTTTGAGAGCTCAGGATGTGTGCTACAACACAATGTGGGATTATTTGTTTTCCCCCGGGATAACCTGTGGTAGAAGAGTGTGCCACCTTCACTAAATGCTCACCAGCACAAGACACCAAAGAATAGTAAATAATAACAGCACTAAGCACTCTTACACTCAAGTACCTCCACCTCAGCACCTGAGGACATCTCAGTGCAGACTCTGAGAGACGCAATGAGCTCACCTGACAGATCACATCCTCCTCTGGAGCTGCTGTATTTTATTTGTAATACACACCAAGTATTTGGCCCTGCAGACCAACAGATGTTGTACTGGTCTCTGCCACATTGCTCAGAGCAGGTCTCTATTACAGCCTTAACACAGTGAAGCAATTGGTGGCAGGTGGGTGTGACAAAGTGACACAGGAGATCACTGGCCATGACCTTCCCATCAGGTCCCTGAGCAGAGCTGGGGACAAGAGAGTGGTCCAGGCCAAGCCTCACTGACCAGAGATGCTTTCAAGGGGTCAACATTTTCTTTTCAGGTGCTCTGTTTGAAAACACATTGTGGTTTGGGATATAATGAAATGTTTAGTAAGGGCTTTCTTGTTTTCCTGCAGAATTTCCTTAGACATTGAAGGACAGCAAAGAACTGACGTAGTTATTACTTTCTGGCCTCAGAAGGGTCTAGAAGGCTCAAAAGTGGATGAGAGGCAACAAAACCGCATGAAGCACTGAAGAACAAGGTAGGTACCTTGTGGCTACCCTGGATCAGGTACAGCCAACAACAGGAGTCAGCAGAAGGAGGTTGCTGGGGTTTGCTGCAGAATGCTCGAGGAATTCAATCCCATGGGAATACAGGGAGATTTCTGCAGCTCCGTGAGGGGCAGGTGATGGGGATTTAATTGAAAATAAACACTTGTTTAAGCTACATCCCTTTTAGGACTTTGTAGGAAATATACAAGTGAAATATACAGTGTGAGAAAGATACAAGTGAAATATACAGAGTCGGGAAGTGAGAAGAAAGATGAAGGAGAAGGGTCTCAAGCAAATATCTTCTAAGAAACTCAAAAGCCTTGAGGGCAGCAGGAAGAATCAGACAAATTGTGACCACACACCTTGGCAGAGTAGGCCGAGACAGATTTATGCAAGATACAGATTTATGTAAGGTACAGCAGACCTGTCACTCTGCCAAGCACTGCTAACTCCCAGCTCCATGAGGCTAATGCCACCATAACCCCTGACAGATGCTGCTATTGCTCAGGACAAGCTCTGCAGAAACAGGGGACATGTTGCTTCTGCAGGGTAGGGGGGAGATCAGAGGGACAGAGAGAATATTAAACAGGCTGTGCTTGCAGCCTCTCCCTGCCCTGGCTCCCAGCATCAGACAGGAGCACAGGAGTCCTTGGCAAATCTTGCAGAAGCATCCTCACACCTGCTTTGATGTCTTTGCTGCCAATTTTAACTTTCAGTGGACCAACAAGACATCAAACATTTTCCTCTTGCCCTCTTTGCTAAGCACAGTGCCATATTCACCTGATGGTTTGGGGTTTACTCAGCCTCCTCGGCTGGCTCTGACAAGGAGGGGATGATGCTCGACAAGCGCCTCTGGGCCCATGTTGAATGTGGGGCTACTGACCCTGACACCCTGGGAAGAGAAAATAGGAAGGGAAAAAACCCACAAGTGAGCAGTCTGCACATTTCAAAATGCTTTCTCATGGAAAGGGAAGGCTGCAAGTCATTTGTCTCTAGACAAGAGGAAGATGGGACTAAAGCTGGTTTCCTGTGGAATGGGAGCTCCTGGCAGTGTTGGGTAAATGAATCCATAAACACCCTTTGGGTTACATGGTCTGTGTCTGACTGCTGGGAGGTGAAGTGTCAGGAGGGGCTTCTTCCATCCCCACTCTGATGGGACAAAGGAGAGGACAGACACCAGCACCTGAGCTGTCCCAGCTTGAGAGCATGGACACTGCCCATCCACAGCTCTGAGAGACTCCACGGGGCTGCTGGCACAGACCATTACTCTGGATGGCATCTCCAAGGTTGCAAGGGGTCAGAAGGAACCCAGCTGTCTTTGAGAATCTGCCCCACACCCAGGGCAGCATGCACAAGGAGAACAGCCTCTCCCTCGTGCTTCCACCATTCATCTAGAGATGCCAAGTGAATGACAAAAATAGGCAAATAAAAATAAATGCTCTTCCCTGCCTGGACCTCTATTTATCACAATTTTCTGGGCGCACAGAAAAGGACAGCATATGCAACTCGGGCAGGCTCATGCAGGCAGCAGATTGGTGCTTGCACCCAAACAGGGGCCTCTGGCCTCTGCTTTCTGCATGCTGCCTCCTCTGCCTCCCTCTCCTCCTCCCCCACAATTGCCTTTTCCCCATGAAGGGGTTTAACACCACACATCCAGGCTCATATTTCACAGGGTCTGGAGAAGGCTCACCACCTTGGAAATGCAGAGCTTCTCAGTTCCAGTGTTCCTGGGACAAGGAGGCTTTGCTTTTCACAGATTGCATTCTCCACCCCTCCCAGCTGCTTCCACCCACCCTACAAAGCTCCTTCCCATATCCCAGCCTCTCCCCTGGCTGCTGCCTGGGCAACAGGCACTGCACACTGCAGCTCCTCCCCACCTGAATGTTCCTTCCCAGGTGAGCCAAGTGCAGTCTCGCAGCAAATTTTACCTCAGTTCCACCAAAAGCCAGATTTCTGACGCTCATACAAGGTTTACAACATGCATGGAAGCTTTATCAAAAACCTGGCAGAGCTGTTTTGCTTGGCCTCCTCCCCTCCTCATAGAGTTTTTCCTCCACTGGGAGCCATCCCACATGGATCCCCAGCAGCTGAGCATGTGAAGATGGAGCTGCCTACACGTGATTGCCTGAACAGCAATGCTGTGAAGCCCAGAGTAAAACCAGCCAAGGAATCCTCATCCAGGGCCCTGAGCCTCCCTGTGTTTCTGGCTCCTGGTTGTTTTCCTTTCCCCTAGTGGAACAGGAAGTACAAAGAGGATTCCTTTGGTACAGGGGAGCACAGGTTTATCACCTCCCTGGACACAGCTTGGCCCAGACAAACATTCACAATCCCCATCCAATGCATGAGTGCAGCAATGTTTGATGTTCGGTGTGCACATCCCCTCTGCTCAGCCAGGAGCTCCACTTCATGTTCAGAACTTTTGATGGATACATTCCCAGGAAAACCTTCCTCATCCTGAGACTTCCTTTCTCAGTCCTCACCAGTTTTCTCCCTCTCTTGCAGGACATCTAATCCAACCTCAGTGACCAAACTGAATGTATTTCCTTTCTTGCCCTTCCTATGTCTTCAATGACAACATGAAATCCTTCTGGCTATATTGTAAGGTTTGCTCCTCCTACAGCTTTTTCCAGTGACAAGAGAAGATGCACTGTTTTTCCTGGAGTCAAACAAGAAAAGCTTTGCCAGAAAGATACAACATTTTTTCATTAAGGGAATAAACACCAAAGATTTGTCTGGCTGTGACCACAGCCTCCACTGACCAACACAAAGACCCCACACACACCAAGAGCCTGAGAGAGCAGGGCTGAACAACATGAGCAGGGAAACCCCTTCCCATGGGATCACCCCAGGGGCTGGAGCAGACAGATTTTGTCCCACCTCAAGTACAGGATGTTGGGAGATGGGCTGTGTTTCCAGCCCAGGTGCAGACACATGGATATCGGGATGCAGCAGCACAGCACACTCAGAGATGCTCCACCTGCTGCTCTTGGCCCCTTTCCACCCTCTCATCCCTGGCACATCCCTGCTCTGCCTCTCCCTGCTGCCTCAGCTACACCAAACCTGCTTGGCAGAAGCAGCAGCTTTGTCAACCATCCCCAAGCTCACAGGGAGGATCCAAGCAGGAAGATGACACAACCACAGGGCAAAAAGAAGCCAACCAAAAAACCCCAACCAAACCAAACCCCACAACAACCACAGGAGCACACAATATGTAGCTTGCACTGGAAAACAACAATTAAATAACAAGTCTGAATGTTGATAAAAGCAGGGAGAAGTGAGAACAGAACACAAAATGAAGGATTCTCACAATTGTTCCTCCCAGCCTACCTTAAACATGTGGCTACTCCTTGTCAAAGGGATGTCTGGTCTTCCCAATTACTGTGTTTGGGAGGCAGGGATTCTGCTTTTTACAGTTTTCCAAAGCCTAAGAGGGGAGAGAAAGAAAAAAGAACACATCTATATTTGTCAGGGAAGTTTATATCACAAAATTTTATGTCCTAGTTATTTTTAAAGTATGTAGGACAACGCACACAAAAATTCTCAACCCTTATCTAGAACTTGCCATTAGCTGACAAGATCAGCACTTGCTGAGGATTAATAAGATGAATTGTCTGTGCAGTACATTATCATCAGGAAAAAAATTAATAGCATTCCATATATTTAAAATATAACCAGCA